GTTTCATAGTTGGTAGGGTGGGAAGGGACCTGAGCAGATCATCAAGTCCGACCCCCTGCCATGGCAGGAAGGAGGATGGGTCAAAAGACCCCAGCAAGGTGATTGTCGAGCCTTGTCTTAAAGACCCCCAGGGTAGGAGCCAGCATCACTTCGCTTGGAAGTTGGTTCCAGATCCTAGCCGCCCTGACAGTGAAGTAACACCTCCTGATATCTAGCCTGAATCTCCCCTCTGCCAGCTTGTGACTGTTATTCCTGGTCACTCCTGGCGGTGCTCGGGGGAACAGGGACTCCCCCGGTGCCTGCTGGTCCCCCCTAACCAGTTTATAACAGGCCACAAGATCCCCCCTCAGCCTTCTCTTTTGGAGGCTGAACAGGTTCAGGTCCCGCAACCTTTCCTCATAGGACCTACCCTGCAGTCCCCTGATCATACGAGTGGCCTCCTCTGGACCCTCTCCATGCTGTCCACATCTCTCTTAAAGTGCAGCGCCCAGAACTGGACGCAGTACTCCAGCTGCGGCCTGACCAGTGCCGCATAGAGGGGGAGGATCACCTCTTTGGACCTGCTTGAGATGCATCTGTGGACGCACGACAAGGTGCAGTTGGCCTTCCTAACTGCCTCCCCACATTGCTGACCCACGTTCATCTTGGAGTCAGTGATGACTCCAAGATCCTTTTCCGCCTCCGTGCTGGCAAAAGGGGAGTTCCCTAACCTGTAGGTATGGTGCCAGTTGTTCCTCCCCAGGTGCAATGGTGAGTTAAGCTCGAAGTTTTAGATTCCAGTTTTAAGAAACTGTCAGCTGTCCTGCTCACTAAATAAGCTGATTTTACCTGGCTTGCTTTAGGATTCATTTGCTGGCTGGTTAAGTAAATGTACAGTTCCTGTAAACAGAGAATACAGCCGCCGGGTCCGTGCCAGGATTCATTCTGAAGTGACCAGATGGGATCTGTACTTCAACACCCTCTCAACTCTGCATCTCGCATGTAAGAGCCACGTGGTTTGGGTACTGCCCAGAGCCTCACGAAGCCGCCGCATTTATTTCCTCCTGTCCAGCCCTGTCAACACACAGCTTCACTGGGCTCACTTCTGCCCATAAACGGTGGATGGCTGAAGTCCCGTCCGTGGCAACGTATCTCTGCAGCTCATAAATACCTGAATAACCCCCGTGGCTTTAGGAGATCTCTCGACTGTGTTGGTTTGTGAGCCAGGCCCTGAATCTGCAGAAGGACTCAGGTTCCAACCTCCCCCGGCCCCTCAGATCCCTAAATACCTCCACGCTGTGCACCTCACATAGCTCTCGCAAGCAGCCACTTGTGAGAGGAGCGCACCTGCTTGGAGCTCAGTGCCGTTTGCACAGCTTGGGGCTCGTTGCAGCCTTTCTATCTAGTCAAACAAAGAAATGTCAGAAGTCCTACATCTTCCGAGTACAGGACAGTAAACTGAATGTTGAAAACACTGGCGGTGAAGTGTTTCACTATCAAACCAAAATCCGCTAAGCCAGCCGAGCCCTCCTGCATGAAATGCAGTGCTTTCTCCACCTTTTTAGGCTCAAGGCTAAGTCTTGAGTTGCAAAGAGCTCAGACCACGAGAGGTCGGGATGTTTATAAGACTATGAGTTTCTGTTTGAAATCTGTGGGTTCATCTTGTGAATCGAGTTTGCACACCTAGCGATGCTGACACTGGGTGGCACCGCGCAGCACCCATGGAAGGATCTCGCACACCCCAGTTGAGAATCACTGATTTAACCAAACTGCCCTGGTTGTGTTAAGGTTCTTTGGGTCAATGTGATATCTTTGATTAGACCAACTAAATAGTTGGAAAAATCGTTCTTTGCAAGCTTTGGGGCACAAACACCCTTCTTCAGGTCTGGGGAGAGGTTGTCAGTGTGTTTATGCAGCTGGGCAACCCGTTTTACCTGCTGCGCTCTTCCCAGATGGCACGGGGGTAAATGCAGCAACGTCTGTGACAACACAGCTGTGCCCAGGTGGCATCTCAGAAAGGGAATAGTAAAGAGCTTACAATTACCACGGGCAGTAAGTAAACTGCATTCAACTCCAGCAGCATGCTCTGTGCACACATATCTGTTCGGGAGTTCGCAGCTTCTTGCCAAGGTGCTGCGACCCTAGCTGAGCTCTGAGGTCTTTGAACAACAGCAACTGTGGAAGCTCAAGCCGAGGGTAGTTAGAAATCCCGTGCATCCAGGCCCAGGCATGGCTCTGTCTGGTGTAGTCAGATAAGAGGCTGGGCCCTGATGGTGGTTGTCGTGATGTGGCGTGGAGAGCCCGAACACTTCAGGGTCGCGGGAGGCAGGTGAAAGTGGAAGTTGGTGCGCGGCACGCTCTGTGCTGTGTGTTCGGTTGCTGGGGAGCGCGTCCTGGGCAGATCTCTTCCAGGAACCGGGGGCGGACGCAGGGGACCGTTGCCGTTTCCTTCCTGCCTTGAGCAGTGGGGTGCGGCTCCAGCGCTCTCCTTTTCCTTTTCAGGCTTCCTTTGGCTCAGAAAGGGCCTCTCCCTCCTCACTGCAACACAGGGACTTGTGCCCTGCTAGAAAGCCTGGCTGCGCTTTCCCACTTGTCTTAACATTTAGTTTTGATACCCTGGAATACCAGTTTGGTTTCTGGGGCAGCTAGCTGCAGTGATCCAGGGGATCACACCCTGGTTTCCAGTGCAGCGGGGGATCATTTCTTGACTATCTTCTCTTTTAACTGAGTTCTCCCTAGTAATTGCACAAGAGTTTCTGTCACGCTCCTGCCACTTTCTCTTTCAATTTTGCATGTGGGAATAAACTCGGAAGCTAACGCTGCATGTCTGTTCAGCTGAAATTCAGTGTCCGGGTGCCCAAAATGAGGAGGTGATTTTTAGTCAACATTGTAAAGTAAAAAAGAAAAAAAAAGACGTGTTGTGGTATACGGATCAGACGGGAAATGAGCTAAATTGCAGGACTCTGTACAAATATGCTGGATGGTGCAGGTAGCTCTTCTCTGTTTTAGACATTAGGACTATGTTTTTGATCCTGCCAAAATGAAATTAAAAGCCATGAACGTATGGAGGGGGTAGGCACGCCATGGCTGCGTCAGTTCTCCGTAGGAGAAGCTCTGCGTTTGTCTTGTAGAGTCCCTGCCTCATGGTGCTACAAGCCGGAGGCAGGGGTTGTGGTCTCTTTTACATGCCGGGAGGTAGGAAGCCTGCCCCCCCTCTGTCCCTCCCCGCTCCCACCTGGGGAGAGATCCTCTCTTCACGGCTGGGGCCCTGGCATGCTGCTTCCAGCTCGCGGTGGCTGGCAGGAGGGCGCAGGAACAACTGCCCCTTTGGGTCTCATCTGTCCCAAATTGCAGAGCTGCAGCGAAGGGATCAGGTTCTGTCTGTGCTAAGAGCAGGGAGCCGTTTTGACTCCTTCCGTCCATGCCAGAGAAAGGCATGCTCGCAACAGAGTGCTTCTGGCTTTTATATCTTTTTTTTTTAAATCTCTTCTCCTGCGTCCATATCTGATCACTTTGGTATTTTGCTGCCTTCTGTTCTCAGGAGCTTGAGAAGCTGGGCTTGGGAGACGGTGTGGATCTGCACGTGTATGAAATCCCAGTTGAATACCAAACTGTACAAAGACTAATTCCTGCATTATGGAAGAAGCACAGTCCACAAGTGAGTGAGTAAAAGGGGAACTGAGAACCAAAGCCTGCTGTCCTTACTGCCAGGAGCACACGGTTCTGGTGTCAAGTCCAGTTTCTAGCACGTGTTCAAATTTGGGCTGATCCCTGGGCCGGTCCTTCTAGTGGAAGTGCAGGAGGTTGAAGAACAGACCAAGGTGCTGGTTTGTAGGAGCGTTTGATGCTAGGAGGGCAGTCTAAGCACCTTGCCGCTCACCTGTGCCCCCTTGGCTGCTCTGTCCCTGGCACATTCGGTCAGTCATCTCCACCGCCCGTCTGACCTGTGTGAAAGGGTCAGATTGAGTCTCCTCCCCCACGCACCACCGGACACGTACTGCAGGGCTGTCTCCCCCCCGCTCCCCGTGTCAGTAGCTCTAACTTGCTTCCTTCCTCTTGCAGTTGGTAGTTCACGTGGGTGTTTCGGGCATGGCTACTACTGTAACGCTGGAAAAATGTGGACATAATGTAGGCTACAAAGGCTTGGACAACTGCCGGTTCTGCCCCGGCTCCCAGTGCTGCGTAGAAGGGGGTCCAGAGTGCATCGATTCCATCATTGACATGGATGCGGTGTGCAGGAGAGTCTCGACGCTCGGGCTTGATGTTACAGTGACTATCTCCAAGGATGCTGGCAGGTACGGGGTGGTGACCGGCAGGGAAACAAGCTCGTGCTCTCGTGCGTGTTCCTTTCCTGCGGGGCGAAGTTCAGGCTTGGGTTCGGCAGTCGTGTGCCTCCTGGGACCACGTTCCCACTGCCTCAGCCTGTGATGCTCACGCTGGCACACCCACTTTGCGCAGGCATATGTGGCTACATAGAGCCCAGGGCAGTAGAGATTCAGGCCTTTCATCGCCCAGAGCGTTTGACCTCCCACTCCCTTGTATTGCAGTACAGACCATGGAGCAGATGGCCCCATGAACACCTTTGGATGTGCCTTTTTGGTTTTCCTGAGGCCTGGGATTGCCATTAAACTCCAGGTTGTGCAGTTACAAGCACGATGATTTTGCTTTCTGGGGAAAAAGCTGCTTTATCTAGACTAGCAGCTTTAGGAATTGCATACGCCTCTGGGACCTGGCCAGCTGCTGTGGAGATGGTGACAGAGGCCAGAACAAGAGGAGCTTCATCATCCATTCCTGTTCTTTAACAGCTTACCACTGCTAATGAAGCAGGAGCTGCTGGTTATGCTCAAGACGACAGCAGCTATTGCACTGACTCGCCTTACTCTGACCAGTCTTACTCACCAGTTGTCATCTGTCACTAACTAAATAAGCTTTTTTTTTTTTTTCCTTGATTTCAGATACCTCTGTGATTTTACTTACTACACGTCCTTATACCAGAGCCGGGGCAGGTCTGCATTTGTTCACGTGCCTCCGCTGGGAAAACCCTATACTGCAGAACAGCTGGGCAGGGCCCTGCAGGCGATCATAGAGGAAATGCTCGATGTTTTGGAGCAGTCTGAGGGCAAAATTAATTGTCAGCATGAACACTGAAACTGGGCAGACGTCACCCCACTATTGCACTTCCAAGATAATTCCCTACTGCTAAAATCCAGGGGAATCCAGTCTGTCTGAAACGTGCACAGTAAGAACCCAGACTTGAGAATCAAGGTGAATTTCACTCGCAGAAATTGCCGTTCTTTTCTTCAGACGTGTGCATTTCAGCTTAGGCGAAGGAGGATTCAAAGTCTCTTCCCTTAAACCACCTGCAACTACTTATGTCCAGAACTGGCTGAAAAGCGTGCTGTATTTTCTACAGAGCTCACCTGTCAGCTGAATGACAGCTCCTGAACAATCTCATGCAGGCCAGATGGAAAGGTTTATACCTGGAATTGGAGTTCAGGTGCAGGGGATGGATAGTGCCTGCTAATTACTAGTCCTTAATTTAAAAAAGGAAAAAAAAACCCTAGGTTTTTAATATAAAAGGATAGCTGAGAACAGTTGGCATAGAAGGATCTGGGCATGTCTTTGTGAGTAGCCTTTTTCCTTAAGTGTATTTATTTGGTATACAAGTCACTAATTCTTCAGTGAAATCAAATGTGTTTTGGGCACTAAATCTTTCTTTCTTTTTTGCCAATCCTAAACCAGTGCGTTATTGTGGACCCCATGAGGGCTCGGAGTAGGTCGGACCAGCCTGGCTGCTGCCAACAGAAGGGGTTTGAGATTCCTTGTGTGGAGTGCTCTGAGACGTGATGTGGGGATGGCTTTTTGTATGTGGCACGTATCCAAAATGCCAAATATTTCCAAATGTTTTTGTGTGTTTTTTTTAATTATTATTGTGCTAATGCCACCTTTCGTGCTCAGACCAACTGTATACCTCCTGTACAAAGCACACTATCCCATTCCTGCACAGACCACAGTGTGCAGCAGGTGAGAGGGCTTCCCTCGTGACTGCTTTCTGCTTCGGGGATGTACTTTCCTAGAACCTTGGTGCTAGAAGTTACCCAGCCTTTACCTTAAAAGCATCTCCGTGCTTTCCTATTGTTAATTAATTAATTAATTAATTGTAAATTTTCCTTCTCTTCAGAGGTTGGAGGTAGCGTGATGTCCGAGTTAAATACTAGGTCGCTCTCTTGATTTGTCTTTCATACGCACGTGCTAAAATGCAGCTTCAAGGCTGGACCATTTCTGCCAAGCCAAACACCCCAAAGTTTAACCTCTTCCGCTGCCCCAAACCGATTTGTTTGGAAACCTTAAGAATTGTACCTAAAATAGGCATTTCTAGGTTGCCTCTGGCCTCAGTTGTCGCATTGGGGCTCCTCGGTTGTGCCCTGCAGACTCTCCAGATGTGGTACTGAGAAGATGGCTGCAACTTTCCAAGCCCTGAGGGGAACGTTACTAAGCCAGTGTGTGTGTACTCAACCTCCGAGCCATGGTTGTGGTGCATGGTAGGTGCCAGGGTAACACTGGTTGTGGCTGGCATGTCCTCTCTGGGCACTGGTTTTGAATGAGAACTTCTATGACTAGTTCTAATGCTTTTACTAAAACGATATATTGACATAAATACACTTTGAGACTTGCTAGAAATGTCTATCGCTATTTTTGAGTTCTTCAATTATGATGTTTCTGTCCTAGTATCTCTCAGTGAGAGCTGCCTTTTTATTGCTACTTCCCAACTGGAAGTCTAGTGACAAAGAACATGCCACTTCTCATGTGCATTTGAGAGAGAGGATGGAGACTTCTGCAGCTGTGTTCAAGACACCTCTTTTGCTAGAGAAGCTTGTCTGAATGTATGTTTGGGTTGCTTTTAAGGTTAGTTGACCACAGAAGTGGTCGTTGTGTTTCTATACAGGCTCTTCTGGATCATGGAAGTGGCCTTAGAAGCAAGGGTCCATTCTCCTCCTTGTCCAGATGCAGAGTAGCACTTGTTCGGGAACCAGCAGTGGGGAAGACCCCAGCTTCCTGTCTAGTAATTTATTATATTTAATGCTTTGTTTAAATACCAGTGATTTTTGCATGGTTTTTACCCACAGTGGAGTTACTTCACTTTTTCCTGTAGGCAGCTCTGATCATCAAAATGTATCAACTGCTGAACTTCTTAAGAAGAAATGATTCATGTTTCCCCTGAACGTTGCAGGTGATGGGAGTCGTTTGCCGTGACACTGGTTCGCCTACACTTAACCTCTCAGCTGCGAATAAAGTAGGAGCAGGAGCTCCACAGCTGGGGGAGGTGGAGTGGCGGTGGAAGCGAGGCTGGTCTCTGACCTGGCTGCGGCACTGCGGGTCCCAGGAAGTCACAGATGTGGCTTGGCGTGGCTCAGCAAAAGCTCTGCTCTCTGCAGAGTGCTGGCTGGCTCGTTGGAGCAGACGTCCCGTGTCCGTGGCACCTGTCTGCCTCCTGGTTCGGGGGGTAAATCTCTAGCAGCTCTGCATCTAGGGATCATTGGCTGGTCTGGTGACCCTGTTCCGACAGACGTCTCCGGTGCTCAAGGAGGTGCACGGGTTCCTCCAGCATTTCCCTGCTCAGTGCTCCGCACGCCATTATTGAGGGGCTTGTACACGCTGAGCGGAGAGCCTTCCTAGTGCCAATGTTGCACGACACCCAGTGCAATCTGCTTGAGGCCAAGGGGTTGCTGTATGGAAGTCTCTGGAGCGAGGAGTGGAGAAGGGGGGAGGGATGCGGCTGTGCAGAGGGAAGACTACTGCAGATTAGTTTTGCCAACCTGTAAAAGTCTCCCCTCCAGCACCCTCAGGCGGCCCTCTTGCCACCGCCTCTTGCAATCCTCCTTGGAGGGGAGCTTCGATTTCAGTGATTTCTGCCTGCTCAAGGACTGAGAATTGAGCCCTTCCTGTTGGTCATATTTTTTTTTTATTTCCACAAATGTTCTTCACTTTATTTTGAGCTTTGTTTTAACTGTCTGCATCCCCTCACCGTTTGCTTTTGTAAAGCTTCATGTGATCAGTTTTATTTACTAGAAAACATAATTTATTCTATAATCTCTTTGTTCTAAGAATTAGTAGTTGGAGATGATTTTTTGAAAGAGCGGGTGTTTTATGTTGTTAGTAGTCAAGTTTTGTATAGCAAAACTTTTTTAATTGTGACATTTAACTCATTTTATTTAATCCTACCTAAATTAAATACTTTTTTTGTTTTGTTGAATCTTTTTGTTAAACTCATTAACATGCAATGCGTTTCCTATATATACGTCTTTGGTTTGCAATTGCAACATAAAAATGATCAAAAGCTTCTCCAAACAGTGACTGTCATGTGTAATGTTTGCTGTCTGCTTTCTCCTTCAGATCATTTAATAAAGAGAACTATGCTAATTTGCATGGCCTGGAAGACCCATTGCCAACTACCAAGCTTTTCAAAGAAGCAAGTAAACGAAGGAAAGTCAGGCTGACTTCTCATTAGTTTACTTTATATTTTTACAGGGTAATAACTTGCAAAGCTTTAGCAAGGTCTCATTGCAGCGCCGGGTCTGCTGTTCATCGCCTCTGCACAGTGGGGTTGGAGAGCTGGGGGGAGCAGGTTTGCAGAGAAGACAAGAGAATTGGGGAGGTTCCTTTGCACAGGGCCGGGTGTTGTGTTATGCACTCGCCAAGCAGGGGGTGAGTGGGTGACGTTTGGCACTTGGCTGTTTCAGTGTGAAAACAGTGTTGGATTGTGAGAAGCTACAGATACTTGTGTAGCCGTTCCAGAATTGGTGACCACAAGAGCGGGGGAAATCCAGGTTGCGGAAGTGCCCAGTAACGTACATGGTGTGATGGGAGGAGGTGTACAGCAGCTCCTGAACCTGAAGGATTCTGCGAATAGAAAGACTTGGGCGTCGGGAGCGTGCTCGTGAAGTTGAACGCTGCCACATGGGAGTGGGTGGCGCGAGCATCAGAGAAGGGATTTTGGAAGATGAAAGGTCACGCATGGCGCACGTTTGTTTTTAGTGCGGCTCAGGTTCAGTCTCCTCTGGGCTGGGTAGTCGCAGGGAAGATGGCAAAGAGTTATGGAGATGGTTAGAGGTGTTGAGGAGGATTGTGACGTGGGACTGAAAAGCATTTTCTGTGGAGGGGCCTGGGTGAGGGCTGCCCAGCCTCCTCCCTCTCTCCGCTCCAGGGACAAAGGGAACATTAAGAATATATTTGAAATAAATGCCACCTTCTGCATTTCACCTGGGAGTTGACTGCTGCTGGCAGGTGCTTAGCTAGCCTCTTGATGCTGGTTTGGGTGCTGGCAACAGCACGCACAGAGGAATCCAACTTTGTGGCGTAAGTAGGCTTCTGACAGAAATCGAGAAGTGATCTTCGTCCCCAGGTAGTGCTGCGTGATGGAGCAGGGAGAGGTGGCACTCGCACAAGAGCAGCCCGAGACAGGATAATGGACTTGTTGGGCCAGAGGTCTGATCTAATGTGATAGCCTATCTGCATTTCCGTAGCACTTGTGCGGTAAGTACTTAGAGCAAGTCAAGAAAGGATCTCATTTACTTACCCAGGCAGCAAAAGGTTTTGTTTTTGCTTGGCTGCGACATCCAGACTTTGATGTGTTGTGTGTGGTCTGCCCAGCTTCCAGGAGCGTTAACGGCTCGTGCCTCGCTCAGCTGGCAGGCGGTAGCAAAGTCGCTGGCATGAGGTGGTCTGCCTGGGGTAAGGACTCGGGAGCGCCCAAGGCTGCAGACTAGCTAGCAGAAGGCACCGACTCCAGGATTTTTTCAGTGAAAAACGTAAGGCACTTGTCTGCCTGCCTGCCTGCCTGCCTACCTTCCTTTCAGTATTGTGATAATCCTCATACTTGCCATATGTGATGGTATTCAGTGAAATGTGTTATAACAAGCAGACCCTTGAAAGGTGTAAAAGCAGTGACAAGGGGAAGACCTGCCTGAACCAGAAAAGGGGAAAGAGGTGGTAAAATATCAAAGAAATAGCTTCATCTGGCCCACTCCCTGTAGCACGAGCAAGAACAGCGGATTCTGGCAGCCTGAGGGTGCTCTGCCGCAGCTGAAGTGCGAGTCTGGATCTGTTTTAACTCCGTGTTTCTCATCTTTCGAACCAGTGGATGAACAGCCTCGCTCCAAGCACTGCTTACCACTTCTGAGGGCTGGTCCAGGTTAGTTCACTCTGCTGACTCTTTTCCAGCTGTCTTGGGAAGCTTGCATGAAGTGCAGCCTGTCACACCTTAAAATCTTGTTGCCATGTCCCAGAAATCATTGCTAACGCTTTTGCGGTGGTGGAAGGCGCTTTTCTTTTCCAAACTAGCACTTGCAGTTGGATGGAACGAATGGTCTCTTATCAGTGCAAAAATACTTGGTTGGTTTGCTAAACGTCCAAAGCAAAGCAAAACTCTCTCAAGGAAAGATAGACCCGTAGCTGCTCTTCGGCCATTCAGATAAACTGTTAACCACTCGCCCAGTTCTTTGAAACGAGGAAGTTGCTGCTACTTAAAGATGTCTGTTGTAGATAGGAACAAAATACGAGAAACGAAACTATACACTGCCCTCCAGGTAACCTCTGTGCTACTCCTAATGCAGATTTAGGTATAGTATTGTAGCTTATTAAAATACCAGTTTACTTTAATGAACAGGGAGTGCCTTTCCTGGGGCCGGGCTTGCTTTTGGGATGCATGTGGGCTTGGGGAGGGGAAAACGGGGAGACTGGGCTCCTGCAGCTGGGTGTAAATTGCTGAACTGTTTTCCAGTCCCCTTTCGGTGAGTAAATTCTGTAGCAGCTCTGCACTGGACTCAGCTATTACAACCTCTGGAAAACCCATCCAGACCTAGCGAGAGCAGAGAAATTGCTGTTTTAGCATGTGTGTGCACACGTGTGGATGTGCACGCGCACACGGTCTGTCTTGTCACTGTGCGTTTGGTAACCTGGCTGATCTGCTGCTCCCATTTCTTCAGATGCTCTGTTATCTGTTTGGACTTCCCCTGGTTATGCATGTTACGGCATCACTTGGCCTTTCAAGTCCTCCTGTACGTCAGTTGTGGTGAAATCAAACAATTGTCTTTTCCGAGTATCTCAGGTGTTGCCTATCTTGTGCTTATCAGGACTCTTGGAGCTACAATTATAAATTTGTTGGGGCTTCTGTTTTACTCAGTGTGTTCTCGCAGTGCCTTGTAAAACCAAACAATCTCGTGTGTCACAAAAGGGCTGTGTAATAACGAGTGGTACCGTACGTACTTCAACTTGCCATGGCTAGACTGGACTCTGTAACAGAAAACTGACACTGGTAGTTCGAAGTCAATAAAATGAGTGAACTCTTTGTCTCGGTGGTGTTCTTTGACGAGCTGTCCCGAAGGGCCTGCTCTCGGAAAGCCTGTGGTGTGGTGTCCACGTGGGGTTTTTATGTCCTAGGCTATGGCACTCCTCTCCCTGCCCCCCCTGCTCCATCTACCTGGAGATAGTTTGCTGTTAAACCTCAGTGGCATCCTTCAGCTCCCTGCGTAATGCGGGGACAAGCATGCAGAAGTGCAGACCTGCAGCCCAAATGCATGCCGATCCGGCTATGTAGACAGCATCTGGTAAGGGGCCCTGGCAGGATGTGGCGTGGCAGCAGAGGAGGGGAACAGGGAGGGACCAGCACTGGAGGATCCCATTGCTGGCCCCAGGCCCCGGTGCAGGGAAGACAGAAGTGTTCGCTCATGCAGGAAACCCCCAGGGGCTAACACTGGAGATGCTTCCTGCGAAGGCCTCACCTCTCCATGCTCCCCATCTCTGGCATGGCATTGACAGGAGAACTCAACTCTTTCCCAATGTTTCAAGCACTTGGCCGCTTGCTGCTGGGGTTTCCTCCCCCGGACTCACTCGACATAGCCAAGACCCTTGTTTAACTTTGGCAGCTGGCTCAATTCGCAAAGAGCCAAGAAGCCTGAATCTTCAGCAGGCAGCAGCTGCTCCAACCAGTCCCTTTCGGTGTTACCCGGAGATGCGCAGCTCCACGGAGCCACAGGCAGAGCCCGTTAGCTGAGCCCTGCGCAGCCACAGTGCATTCGCTGCACGTCACTTGAGGTGGGAGCACTGGGTTTCTTCACAAGGTGAGGGCTTGAGGGGGCAGGAAGAGCTGTCTGGTAGGGGAGCAGGTCCCTGCTTTCTGGAGCCATCTCCTCCGAGACACCAGGCTAGCCACGTATTTCCCCATCCCTGTGCTACAAATGCAAGATCTGGGTCTTCATCATGGCTTTTGCGTAATGATACTATAACAGACCTGTCCCTAGATGAGGTGGTTGTGCCCTCCTGTGCACTGGGCACCTGCTAGCTCCTGTCTTCCCAACTGTGACAGGGCGGGACCTAGGAGCGGCCGTGATCTCTCCTAGCGCCCCCTACCGTGCCAAGTTGGTATAAAATGCACCCTCGTTCTCGCCCTCGTAGCCCGCAGTGGGGCCTTGCCCCGCAATCGAGGCTCAGGTGGCCGTAGCCATGCCTGGCCCCCAGACCCCCTTCTTGGGTCCTACGCCCCACTGGGGCTTCCCACAGTCAAGGCTCAGGTGGCCGTAGCCATGCCTGGCCTCCAACCCCCTCCTTGGGCCTTAACCTAAGCACCCTCTGGGGTTTACAGTTCCTGTGCGGCTCAGGCGGCCTCAGCCTTACCTGGCCCCAATCCACTGTGCCCCTTCTCAGGGCTGGGGTCAGTACCCCCTTAATGCTGTGCCCTGTCTGGCACCAGGGTCTCCACACCACTGTGGAGCCCCATGAGGCCTCCTCCAACCCCTCATAGCCTCGCCCGGTCCTCCGGTGTAACAACAAACAATAAACGCAATAACATGAGCCAGCCGGCTCCAGCTCAACCCAAGCCTCCTGGCTAAAACACAATTTCTAAGCCCTCTGGCTAGCCATCATTCAAATCCCTACCAGGGTTTGCTCCATTCAGGCCGCCTAGCTTCTCTGCTCAGCTTGCTCCAGCCCAGCTCCTACTTCCTCAGCTACCAGAGGGGAACTGCCTGCTTGGCCTCAGCCTGGGCTGTTTATATAGGCCAGGCCCTGCCCCTTCTGGTCAGCTGACCAACTGCGGTTGCCCCGGCAACCGGCACCTGGCCTTCTTTCTAGGAGCCAACATAGCGCAGTGAGGGCAGTGGAGACGCCAGGAGCATATTCAGTGCTGCTGACGTGTGGGATGAAACACCAGACCTCCTGCTGCGCACAGCTTGGCAGAGGGATGGCTACAGAGAGAGGCCATCCCCTCTCGCAGGCCCCAGAGAGCTTCACAAAGGACTCCAGGCACCTGGGAGACCTGAAACCTGGGAAATGAGCCTCTTTCAGTAGCCTTTAATGCCCTCCAGAACAGGCAGGTGGGACCATTCCTGCCGGGTGGCTTCTGCGGGAGGCAGCATCGCAGGCCTCTTCCCCTGAGCTGTGTAGGGATGCAACTTGGAGAAGTTTGCGTGCACATGTCTGAGCTGCCACCTCCCTGCGTGCTTCTCCAGATGCCCAGTCCTCTTGGAAGTCAGCTCTGCATCCAGCTTTGTTCCTGGAGGAGCTTCTTCATGGAGCAGGTGAGAAGTGGGAGCCTGGTGGATGCTGGGCATAAGGGGTGTGTCTACACGTGCACTTTGATGTGCATTAGCCTATTTTAATGCACATTAAAGTGTCACCAAAAAAGTGCTCTTTAGCTAACGTGCATTAAAATAAGCTAATGCACATTTTTCTAGTACTTCCGCGTGTACAGGAGCCACCAAGCTGCCGGGCTGTGCTGCCTGGTGCTGCTGCCGGGCTGTGTTGTGTGAAGCCACGAGGTGGTGCCTGCGCATCGCAAATGCAGGGACCTGCTCTGGAGTGGCTGCTTTTCCCTGCCTGCACCAGGTCCTCGCTTCTTCCTTTGGTCTTTCAAAAAAAAGAGAAGCTCCCGGTTGGGCCCAGCCTGAGCCTGAGCCAGCCCTTCCCCAACCGCCCTGAGGCCAGAGAAGAGAAGAGCTTGATGCTCTGTGCTTGGGGCAGGCCAGGGGAGGTGCATCCTGATGCTGCAGGAGCTGGTGGCGGGTGGGAGATTGCCCAGCAGTGTGGAGCCTGCCCTGGGGACCCTGCAGCGTTGTAGGGCAGGGTGAGAGGCTTCCCAGCTCTGCCTCTGGCAGTCCCAAGCCCTTGCCCCGGTTGCTTTTTCTCTGTAAGGTAGGATGTGGCTGTCAATGCCTCCCACGTCCTGGGTGCTTCACCTGCTGTCCCTGCCTGCAAGGAGCTGTGGGAGGGCAAGGCCTTCACAGCAAGTATCTGCTGTCATGAGCCCCCAGCCTGGTGCTGAGTTCTTCTCATGCACCAACACACCTGCTTCTGCCTGTCCTGCACTCCTGCGCAGGGGACTGAGCCCCGGGGTTAGCAATGGGATGTTCCCAGCTCTGCCACCACCGTGCCACATAATTCTGAGCAGTCCCTTCCCTCTCGTGCCTCAGTTTCCCCGATGCTCGGTGGAGGAGCCCAGCACTGCCCCATCCACAATATCAACAGGTACCTGCAAGAGCTGGACGGCGGCACAGATAGACAGTGTCTCGTTTGCCTTTTCTAGGGCCGGGTGGAGAAGTGTCCAAGTTCGTGCTGTGTCACTTGTGCGACTGCCCAGGCTTTTCCTCTGAGCTGGAGGCTTGAAACTGCTTCCTTGCTTCTCGCTGCCTCTGCAGGTGCCGTATCTTGTGATCTCGCTCGCAGCCTTCGAGGGACGCGAGAGCGGAGCGTCCTCGCCCCAGCAAGGGACGCACAGTGGATGCCAGTGCACAGACTGGCAGCAGCTCCACTTGCCCAGACCATGATCGTCCTGGGGTGCGTGGCCGCCGTTCCCACGTGGGGTTTGTGTTGTGGGGCACTGCTGGGCACGGGAGTGATGCTGGCTGGGACCGTAGGTGCAGGGAGCTGGTGTAAGAGTCCCATGTCCCTTCCCCATCAGCAGTGGGTTCATGGGTGGCCCAGAAGAGCTCTCCAGCCAAAGCAAAGGTGAGGAAGAGCCTGCCCTTGGGACAGCACCAGCCAGGGCGCCCCTGGCTCCCATCGGTGCAGGCGGCTGTGCAATCTGGCCTGGGCACGGCTGGCGTTTCCTGCCTGCGCAGAGCCATGTGCTGCAGGAGGCCTTGGCCCTCACCCCCCGTCTCTGAGCCTTGCTCAGACCCTGCCCCAGCCTCCTGCCCCCGCTTTCCCAGGGCAGGGGCCAAGTGCCTGCCGCACCCGAGAGGATTCCCTGGCATCTGCTCTCGGCTCCGGAGGGGGAAAGGTCCTGAGCGTGCTGCTCAGGACTGGGGTGGCCCTTGCAGTAGCAACATCGTCTAGCTCCTGCTCCCTGCAAACGCAAAGCGAAGACTCGTTCCTTTGCCCACGTGCATCCTCCTGGGCTTCCCCCTGCCACGGTGTTGAGCCAAGGCAGCTGCTGAGGCTGTGGCTGGGGCTGGGGTGTCCCAGGGCCTGTGGGGAGGGGCTGAGCACAGTCTGGTTGCCCTCTGTCAGAGCTGGGTTGCTCTGTGCCACCGGCTCCCGGGCTTGCAGCCTGCGTTGTGGCACCGCGCAGCTCTCGGGGAGGTCACTGCGGACGCAGCGGCACCAGACTCTCTTGTGGCTCCTGAAGATCATGTCCCTGTCCGGGGGGCAGGGCTGCCCACGCCCCCTGTGCGCTTGCCCACCGTGGCCTGTCAGCGGCAGGGGCTGAGCCACAGCCTGGCCCCCACATTGGCTCGAGGGGGACGGGATGCGTTGGGACCAGGTCCCCTGCCCCGCTGGTGCCCTCAGGGTGTGTGGCTGGACGCGGGGTTGGGAGGCTGCGGTGCTGTGATGTGCTTCTGGGCTGTGACACGGAGCTGCCCAGGGTGTTTCCTCCTTCCCGTCAGCTGCGCGGGGCTGCGCTCGCCTGCTCTCCGTCCACGCTGGGCTGGGGGGCGGCGACCCCCGGCACGGACGGCGCTGGCGGTCACGGCGCGGGGAGTGGCGCAGCACGAGGGAGGCTGGGACAGCCCTGTCCTCAAGGCACGGGCTGGCTGCGGGAGAGTGTCCTGGCTAGGAGTTGGCTCCGGGCTGGGGCCTGTGGCCAGGATGGGCCTGTGCCGAGTGGCACGGCGCGGCACGGCGCGGCTGGAAGGTGTTCCTGGAAACATCCGGCGGCGTTTCTATTTTCGGTGGCCGGTGGGATGCGCAGGCCGGGAGTTCTGGGAATCCAGTCGCAGCGCGGGACGGGCGGTGGAGCCAGGCCCGTCCCTCCGGCAGGAATGCGTGCCTCATCTTCAGGGAGGGCGAGCCGCCAGCTGCTCCGTGCCACGGGCTCGCCTGACTCACCAGCCTGCTGCTCCAGCGCCCCGA